CTCACGTGACAAGGGGGGAGGTGCGCTGAAAGCTGCGAGGACAGGGTTATTGGACGTGAATCAACACGATTCACTACAGTACCTATGAGAGTTAAGGCTTTCGGTGAAATGTAAATACAAACAAAATCAACGGAGTACACAAAGCAACCCCCTAATATTTTTCAGCCTGCATGTTTAACGGATTTTTTAGGCATGTGTGAGCAGGAGGTAGCCTATCATCGCGGTCAACTGGTAAACTGTTGACATCTTAGCCAATGATAGCGTTAGCTACCCTCACGCATGTTGGCCTTGATCAACCATAATAATGTCTATTATTGGCCACAGTCTTCACTGTTGTCGTCTTCCTATATGCGCTAGCGTGGTCATAAATTGTAACGGTAAAGTTAAAACTGCTAACCCACTGTAAGGTCTTCAACTATTGGTTAGTTAGCCGGAGTCTTCATAATTTTGAATTCGGCAGTAAAATTCATATGTAATCCTTTTTAATTTTACCGAACAAAGTACAATTTATTTTATTTGCTTTCAGTCTCATATGCATAAATCACTTGTAAATCTTCAAAGCACAAATGCAAAATTATGTGAATTTACTTAGGCTACTCTTACTTAGCCCTATTTCTAGAAAACAACAAACAAATCACGTTGGTAAAATACGTTTGTACTAATTTAGTTTTGAACTAAAGTTGAAAATACGTGAGAGAATTATGGTAGTAGTAGTTACACAAATCATGATATCCGATAACAAAAAACAATAACATTAGAAACAAATTAGTGTGATTATTGTGTAAACAACCGCATTAGCATGGTTCTGCTGCTTCAAAATAGCAACGTAATTAACATAACTCAATAAAACTAGTCCCGTTTGTTGCAGTTAATCCACATTCAGTGAGGGAGGGCGGCGCAATTTCAAATGAAAGCAGCAAATTAAGAACGAACTCTTAATGCTTTTCGAGAGCTTCATTGTGGACACTTCTGTTAAAACAAGTTTCTCTGGGTGCCTCTTAAAACAAAGTTGGAGACTGAATTAGGGTGTCAACGTTTTCTGCAGGTTGGCTTCCTCAAGGATGCTTGGTCCGGCTTCCAGAGTTGCGAAGACCTAAAGTCGATTGGCTACCAATTTTAAACGGAGGTTCCGTCAACGGTGCTACATCAGGGATCCTATTCCCGGAATATCGGGTCTTCTTGGAATACGTCGAGCCAAAGAAACTGGAAGAGCTTCCATGGGTAGGACTGATTCACTTTTCATCGAACAAAAATTGCATTTCATTTGGTCGCGGTCATCAGAGGTCCTCAGGCACCTTTTTTATGCAACAGTCCCTGCTCAACAAGAATGGGTGCCTAGTTGAAATATGTCTGGAATTCGATTGTAGTTTACCGCAAACAAGTGTAGACATTTGCTATTTGTCAGTCCATTGTCTAATTTCGGGGTTGCATGCAACTCCCAGAGAAAAGAGGGTTTCTGGACTGAAGGAGTTACGGTATTGTGTCGTCGGATGTCATTTATTAACAGCTAGGTGAGTTAATTCCTCCTGATCTCTGACTTGCAAAGTGTTATAATGCTATGCTGCTCTTGCGAGACCCAGCAAAAGCATGCAAAGTTCCCACAAGCAAATTCGTCTGAGTCGAAGTTTGTAAAAACACTGTTAAGGCTTACCTCAGCGTTTCGATAGCACTTCAGTAATAAAGTGCAAGAAAAATGATTGCCATAATTGACGGTAGTTTTCACTGCTGTCAGGCACTGACGTAAGGGCTAAGTATTATATGTTCTTCGTGAGCCGGTTTTAATCAGGATTAATTCGTGAAAACTGTCTTTTGCGAATAGCCTTTTTGTGCAGATGCAAATGTTATCTCATCTCATCTCTTGCTACGATTAGCCAAGGCAGCTTCACGATCAGTACCTGATTCGTCTCGTTGGATGGCTTTAACTTACTCTGGAAGAGCTAGTGACATTGAAAAGTTCCTTGGCTATAAATTCGACTTGTTTTGAAAAGATTTTTTTCCACAAAGTGATCTGGCCCTTTGTTTCACATTCTTTGAAGTCACATGGATTAGCTATTGCAACTTTCAGCATCTTCATCTTCAAGTATTTCTTATCCAAGTTTGCAGAAAACCTCTGAGGAACAAGTGCCCTCCATCTTAGAAACTGTGACAAAATAATCTCCACCATAGGCGTTATTGTTCTCATTTAGAAGGCGCGTCAGTGACAGCTGACGAACTTTCTTCTCATACGCCAAGGCTTGACGCTGTTTAATTCGTTTCAAACTGACCTGGTCCTTTTTAACTTCGGGCATATGCCTTTCGACGACCGTGCGGCTGTGCACGTGTTTAATAATAAAGTGAGGCGTCATTTGAGTCTCTTCGTGTGTGATTTTCGCTGGTTTACACCGTCGATTTTCTCGACCCACTTCTTTCTTTTTCTTCTTCCTTGTTGGGGAAGAAGATGAATTTTTTACCATTTCAGAAGCATAGTCTTGCAAGTGAGGAATTTCTTTCGGCGCAACACTACTCACATCAGACACCGGTGATTGGATGAAGTGGACTTTCCGTTGTTTTTCTTCCAAAGCATCAGAAAGCGCCTCCTCTGTTCCCCTGTGGCAGTCACCTAGTTGCCCCTGTGTCACAGTCTGCTTTGTGCACACTTCCGAATTTTTCTGGTCTCCATTAGGCAGTCGGTGAATTTCTCCATCAAGGCAAATTTGACCTGATGTTTGTGTTTTGTTAACCGTCTCAAGACAACCCGAGTCCTTTTTGATAATATCTACTGGAATAGCAGGCTCCTCGAGGAAAGGAATGTGTTCATCAGAATCTACAGAAACTCTTATCTCCGTCGACGCTTCTTCGTTCTTGTCACTCCTTGAGTTTGCCCTGAAGGAGTTCGAGTCGTAGTAAACCTCCACCAAGTCCTTTGGGCTTGAAGGGTTCGCCTCTAGACACGTAGATGTCGATTTACTTGATGCCATTTCGTCCTCACTCCGTTTCACCAGGCTCGCTGGCGAATCAATGCGCCGCTTGACAGCAGGCGTATTACTGCTAGTGTGCACACTTTCTTCAGGGCTCAATTTGCCCTTTTTCCACTGACATGAAGTCGCTGGACAACTTGAGACATGCCCTTCAAACTCCATGGAGGTTATCGATGTTAAAGAAACCAAATTCGGACGACTTTTCGCGTCTTTTTTATTTCGCGAAGTCTGGAAGTTATAATTTGAGTAATTTAGCCTTTCAGCCCATGATGTTGACTGCTCCAGAGTACCAATACGGGATGCATTTTTGGCTGGCAGCGTGTTGGTCTCGTGGAGTCCACCCGATAATTCTGTGGCAGGCGAATTCTTCAGTAGCATCAAATGACCGTTTTGGTCATTTTGGTGGGTTTTCGTATCTTCATCCATTTGAGAAGCATCAAAAGTCAGGTTTGCTATTGACAATGAAGCATGCCCAGACTCGTTCAATTTAGGTGATTCCTTTCGACAAGTACATTCTGTTCCACTTGACGAGAAAGTTGTTTCCACGGCTTGTGCGTAGGAGGGATCGGTTACCGGAGCTGTGCAGATTGTATCTTCAGAAAAACACTCTTGATTAATCTGAGCAGCTTTCATGGAAATGCCTTGCTGAGCAAGTTTTTCGCAACCAGAAACATTTGCCTCCATTTCGGAATCCTTTTCTAAGAAGACGGGATAGGAAATTTCAGTAAACGGACGGTCCAAGAAGCTGTAGCTAATTTCTGGAACCTCTGTGCTCACAAGGAACCCTTCGCTACCACAATGCACTCTTGTGTTGGGAGTTTTTGGCGAGCTGCTTCGACCTGATGGACTGAAATGAGATTCGTCCTGAAGCGATATTCTTACTGGCGGACAAGGAGCATTACTGAGGACCAAATTGCATCCAGCCGTTTGATTTATGTAGTACTCACTTTTGATTGTGAGCATTTGCTGGTTAGGACCAGATTTCTCTTTCGTTAGCAAGTGGATAATTTGGGGTGCTTGTTCAATCCAGAATTTTGTTTCGAGTGTCCTCGAGTAGTGCATCGCCTTTATTGTAGCCGCGCATAAACCTTCGCGGACATAAGGCCCTTTTTCCACAAAATCGTCCGCAGTTACCACTGTTGTGAGGTTCGTGTTTAAAATACTGTACAAACTCACATCTAGGCAAGTAATTTCCTCGGTTTGCTTCATTGCATACAAAATTGCAGCCAGGAAAGTCCTAAATGCCTTGTGACAAACGATATTCGGGAATTCATCCTTAGAACTACCAACAAATAATGCATTCCCTTCCTTATTTATGGCAAAACCGGTACAAAAAGAAGGTTTCAAGGACTCGCACTGCTGAAGGAGTTCGCAGACAAGAAAATAAGACAAACTTCCCAGTGGTGGGGATCTGTGACTGACTAAACTGCACTCCGCGACAACACCCATTTTCGCATTTCTGACCCTCACAGGAAATTCTCTTTGAAGACCCTGGGAAATAACAGGTCGTTTAATAGCGAATGCCGGGCCACCTGAATTGATGATCATGACCTCGGAGTGTTCCTCAAACATCGATTGGTGTTGACTTTTTTCACCCCCTCTGGGACTCTGCTTGACTTCATTTCGAGAACTAGGTTCTTTGACTTTGTTGGCATGACAGATTCGTGGTTTCGCAATTGGGATGTCATTTTCGGTGGAGGAGTCGACGGCGATTTTGGAGTAGCAGTCCTTTGGATGTTTTGAAGAATTACTTGTTGATCCACCATCTGCCTGTTCATTATCCATGGGGAAACTGGAATTGAAGTAGTCAGTGTTGGATGTAGGATGCAGTAAATGCCGATTAGTTGCATGTACTAAATTCTGATCCATGTATTGACTTTGTTCTTTTGAGGCAGAATCGTCCTGCGAATTAGCGTTTAACGTTCTATCCCCAACTGATTGTTGATCTGCCAGATTTTGAGGCTGGGCCTTTGGTTTTAACTGATCCGAGACGTGATTGAAGGTTTCTAAATTACTTGTGCCATCAGGAACACAAAGACATTGGGATTTCAGTTTAGACGCGTCTCCGTGTTCTGTGGAACTTAGTTCACTTACAGAATCCCAGGTCATCGATGTCCAATCTTCACATAAACTGAGTGGTAGATGCTGAAAATGATAGTTTGGGGTGGACGATTTGAGGAATTCAGCAAACGCAGAATTTTGTTTGATAAACAGCTGCTTACACAAAATATTTTGGTCTTTATTATCGAGTGATTCTTGACGCCGCGATCGCAATGATTGTGATAGGATTGCGAGGGCATTTCGCTTTATTTTAGAATAGAGCGTTTGTGGTTGAGGACTTCCTGTTTTTGCATTTCCCAGGTTTGAATCTTCACTGGAAGACGTCAGGCAGTTCTCAGTCACACCAAACTCGGTTCGGAAGGAAGTCCCGTCTTCAGCAGTGCACAAATCCGACGACATGAGCTTTTGGTCATGCTCGTTTGTTATTACACGAAAACGGTCAAATTTAGTTGTCTCGTCAGCCACTGTTGCCTCTTCTACTATTGAATGAGTCTCGGAAAGGCAGTCTAATGTATCCGAAATTTTTCCTGATTCAAACGTCGCATCGTCATCAGTTGCCTCGGGTTGCGTCTCAAGGGAATCCTCGCCAGCTGTTTGAGCTTCGTTTCTCTGAGAAGCCTTCGAAGATGTATGCCGACTCTCGCTGTCTGCGAGTGTCACAAAAATTTGTGGCAAATTGAAGCTTCCTGCTTTGTTCGAAGACGAACCAGACACTAACAAATCTCTGAAAATTGTACGTGCTTTTTTAACAGGGGTCGTTGTATTAACCTCATCTTCGTGTTTCATTATGACGTTACAAAGGGGAGAGAACAATTTTTTTCTGCCAAATGTTTTACGTACCATTCTTAGTGGCGATGTCAGTGCACTCTGGGCTTTTTGGGGATAGGCTTTTACTACTTGCGTTTTGTCCTCCAGTAACAAGGCATCTGCGACTTCGGCTATGGTGCTTCCTTCAGCTGGCCGTGATGTCACGGCTCTGGCCTCCTCGATGAAGCGAAAATCATCAGGTCTTCGATTAAAGGACAGGCGTTGTTCTGCATTAAGCGCTTCGTCTTCTACAACCTCACTCATCGACTCAAGACTGAGACCACCCATATACTTGTTTAAAGTACCGTCACCCCCTAGCCTGAATCGTCCCACGCTGGGTTCCTGCTTATGCTTGTTTTTACGGTGGATAGAAGTTTTGGAAACGGGTTCTGAAGCCACGGAACTGGAAGCTCCACTGTAACTATCCAATTGACAGGCCTTCGACGAATTTTCATGGCACCGAAGGAGTGTGTCGCGGTTTTCCGATGTTGCTAATTTGAATCTTACTGGCATGATTATCCATTCACAAAAAACTGAAATCCAACGGAAATGCAGATGTAAAGGATGAGATCTCCGCAAACCTGATCCTTTACGTTAAGAGGGGATGGTATCGATTTGCATCACGTGCGCAAGCACTGGTGTGTCCTTGATTGTTTATTTCGGGACATCAAGGTCGTTGCCATCCTGTGTCCTCATCCCTATTGTTGCAAAACTCACTTAACACGGTACAGATTAAAAGTTAGTGATGCCCGGATGAATTAAAGGCTTTGAATTCTGTGGTAAAAAGCGAGATTCTGTATTTTTCAGAACGCCGTAATCACTGTGAATTGACACAGCACCTTTGGCAACCTAAATACGTAATGGAGCGGTAGCCTTAATTCCGGGTTGCGCAACCTCAGCTTAAGTTAGCATTACTTGAAACAGTGCTCTCCCTAGTAGTACATTAGTTCAGCTTGCGCGTTGTTTGTTGATCTGAGTGTGAAACCCAAAATGGATTTCTGGGCAACAAAACTGTGATCTTTCCGCTCACCCACCCTGGACCTTCATTGTCCAGGGCCACTACAGCCATGTCCGGTAACGTTGCTGTAGCAATGCGTCATTCCACCCAGTAGGACGTTTTAGATATTTGGTTTATCTTAATTTAATTCTGGGTTGCTGAAATTGGGCATCAATGGTTGATGTGAGTCGACAACACTGGAGCTCCTGACACTCCTCGCAGAGCAACTCGATGATTGGTAGATGGCATGGTAGAATCTGAGCAAGTTTATCACTCCAAAGATAACTCAGAGGGGAACGCACCCATTGTGTGGTTCACAGACTTTCGTTCACACCACTGGGCGCCACAAATGTGACATGAAGCGGATTGGGATGAAACGGCCGATAAGTCTGACTGGCAGGCCCGACCATTGTGGTATTCCTACAGTGCTGTGCTCTATTAAACGCCACTACCTTGGCTATATTGCCTGGTTCCCTGCTATCCCAAAGATACCCAAAAAATTAATGCTTTTGTAATTCTCCTCTGTTTGCTTGTAGACTAATTTTCTAGGCGAAGAGTTAACTTTCTCGCGCTGAAATGAAGATCGAAAAGGGCACAAATCTGTCGGTATCAGTTCGAGAGTACCTGAAAGATGGATGAGAATTATCTCTTTTAACTTCAATTCGTCGATCCTTTCAGGATGCAAGATCGCTGAATTGCCGGTGGAATTCGCACTTTACCACAGACCACTTAGAATTTAACACAACAAAGTGAAGCGGGTGACATTGTTAATAAGACTAAAGTGCAATTTTGTACAAAAATTTCCGTAATTAAACATTTAATACGTAAACCGGCACTCCTGTTACTGGTGGATGGAAGGCAGGGCCACCAATCGACCCTGGACTTTTCCAAATGCGTCTACAATTTTGGTGAAGAGCCCTCTCAATTCCAGATGAGGTTCATGAAAGGAGTCGATGACTTGGACAGCTTGAAGACAAATCCGAGGTCTAGGCCAAGCTGCCCTCTTCATTCCTACATGCCACTAAGAAGCTGGAAGGTCAAAACTTTTGGAGATAGTTCCACAACTCAGAACAGGATTTACCTTCCAAATATCATGTTTTTCTTTTCTTTAACACCATCGAATCACTATTTGTATTTCCACAGTTTAACCTACCCTCTATTATGAATCCAACAAATGACTGAAATTCCAATAGCAGAACCGGAATAAGCCCTACGCCCTCTCACGGTTTCAAATGTGAATTTATCAAGTAATATAAGAGCTTGTTGAAAGGCCCCGGCGTGTGATCTTGAACCAAACCGGGCCGACTCGTACTGGCCGGAATGCGCTGCACTGATACCGGGGAAGTCCAAGACAGGATAGGATATGGTGGAGATGCTACCGTCTAATGGAGGGCCTACCCTGGTTGTGTTATCGCGTGCGTGAATGGGTTCAAGGTCGTGCGACTGTTGAAGTAATTAACCAGTACAGTACAAATAACTGATTGGCCAGATTAGTGGACTGGGGAGCGCAGGGGGTACATGTACAGGGGTAGATGAAGACGGTCCCACGTGACAGTGACTAGGGGGCAGGGTGTCTTAGACCACGCCGGCGGAGTTGATGGACGTAAATCAACACAATTCACTACAACCTAGGACTTGGACACTACTCTTAGTGTCATTATCGCTTTGTGTTGTGCGTTCGGTATTGCCACAACACATCTCACCATGCCATAAACTTTACTCCTTTGTCTTAACATGCGCATATTTACACCGTCATTGGACTTAAAAAACCAAAAAGCTGTGTTTGGTGGTGGTTGGGAGGGCCTTTCAACTCTCTACACACTCCCTCTTGATTCGCCTTCTCGTCCCTACCCGCGTGCTGCTTCGCCTTCGTGTGTGTGTGTGTCAGCCCCAATGTGAGTGTGATCTATTTTGATGGTCTTTGGACGGTGGAGTAAGGAATGTGGGCATATTGTGCTTAAGAATATCAACAATGAATTAATTGAGGATCTAGAAATCCTGACTCTTTCAATTAACAAGTCATAAAATTGCTCAGCTATTCATTTTCCACGAAATTTTTCAAATATTTAAATCCTGTGAGATTAGACAGTTGAAGCCACTTACTGTATCGGATTTAAATGTGCAATGCTTGCTCAATGAATCTCGCGTTTTAAGAGGACCGAATTAGCGAACACACGGCGCTTAGAAACAATTTTTTCAATCCGGTAATTTGTAAACCTGAACATGTCCAAACTCTTGTCCATAACCAGCACAATGAAAGAACTACGTGAATCAGTCTAGATGCACGGTTCTCAACCCCTTTTTTGTGGTTGGACCTACTTTCAACAACGAAAAACCACACTTAACTCATATATTCTTTGAGTACGTTGATACTGTTGGGAAATTTTTACGTGGACGAGAAGCACCTGATTTAGGTTCTCCTCTGTGTTAAATGACAGGCTTCTCAATATCATGTTTTTTTTAAATTATAAACTTTGAAATTCTCCAAAACTTGGCAACCCCTTGTCGGTCGCGAGTAGCTCGGCGACGCCACTAACCACCCAGGAAATTTGTGTGCTCAAGCTTGATCCTGCGTTTCCAACTGTTCACAGCAAGCACTGACACATTCTTGGGCGGCTACCAATGCTACAACACAACGCAACTCCGAATTCAGTGTTGATTGTCTCAATATGTACAGGATTCTGGCGGTGGCTTCATGCAACAACGATTTTTTTAGCCAGAGGATCATTCACAACACTCAAAATAGGACAGAGTGACGAAGCCCAACTCGTCGAGAAATAGCAAGCATAATGCATTCATGGCCCCAGTAAACAGGCGAAAACGCATAAAACTCTGCACTTTTGGCTCACCCATTAAACCATTCACATTCAGAGTTTCGCCTCTTTAAGGCTATTTATTTTGAGGGAGCTAAAATAAGGTAGGCAATGTAAACACTTTTGCCCACTTATCCTCATCTCTGCCCTAAAAAATTAGTCGTTTTAGTTTAATTCATAATTTGGCTGTGGGGGTTTCTTAAGACAGAAACTTCTGTTAAAATAAAAGCTTCATCTTGCTTTGTTTGTTTTCTAGCAGTTTCTGGTCCTCATCCAATCACTAGAGAGTGCATGTAGCATGTAGATAATCATTTTCACAATTCCTGTATTTAAACAACACAAGATACCCATCCCACTTATGGGACAAATGAAGAAAAGTTTAAGACATTATACGCGCGCATACAAAACATTAAAATTTGACTTCTCCCAATCTCAGCATTTTCCTCTACTCAGTTGGGGAATCTCCAGCGTGTTGAATTCTTGTCGTTCTCGGGACTGGACTTGAGTTCAGTGCCATCTATGCGCGTTGTTGATGTTGTATTAAGGCACAGAAAATGAAATGAACCGTCTACAACAACTTTTAAACCCGTGTGGCTTCAAATTTTGTTTGTTCTAGATTCGTGTTGATAGGTCATGGTGTAGCCGTCAGTCGATTTCGAGTTTCATAGGCATTGAGACACATAATGGCGGTGGATTTTCTTGCAAAGTCGCATTTAGTAGGAGGTTTCTGTTTACACCAAGGTCAAGATGAAGCTCAGCTCAAGGTTTTTTCATAATGGTGAAATTTTTAAAGTTCCTGCGGTGTCGATTATTGGGATCCTCGCAAACTAGCGGCACTTTCGGGTCTGGTGTCGTGCACTCATCTAATATCCTCGCGTCTGGACTTGGGGTTTTTTCAAACAACTGCCCGCCAACACAAGCTTCCTCGACTGACGTCGTGGTTGAGTCCGGAATAAGCTTAACGGCTGAATACGATCGATGGTACAGTTCTATGGGCACTGACAAATCATTTGACTCTCTTGTTGACTGTATTGAACCACTAGTCCTTCGTCCAATCGACAATTTACCCTCAGAACCAGACCTAATTGGTTCTGGTATCAACTGCCTAGCATGAAGCATGTCGCCCATATTTCTGTAGTCTTCACACTGAACAGTCCGTGCAGTCGCAGACCTCTCTGCCTCAGACACAACCCGATGAGAGGAAATGGGCTTTAACATACGAACAGAACCTTCCGGTGCCGGTGAAGGAGCTTGTTTACAGAGGTTCCTGATAGGCCGGAGGTTTTCCAAATTGGATCTGCAAACGTTATTTTGAGTGAGCTGTTCTTGCAATGTGCTCTTTACTTCTGTATCAGTTGATGATTTCAGTGTACAACGTTCGCTGATTCCAGAAGTTTCTGATGTTGACGCGTCATCAGAACTTTTAGCTTTCATAAGCACCTTTATCTGACCTGTTGAAGATATACTTACATTAATAGACATTGGTCCTTGCACGAAATTTTGCTCACAACTAAGCGCAACTGGAGTGGGTTGAGGGTAGCCTGGAGCAACCTCCTCCTCCAAATCACGGATATTCTTCTTAACAATCTGTACTTTTGGATCCATCATTTTAGAGTTTTCAGGGATGCACGCTTCATCTCCGTATGTTTTATCTTCACATACGGCCACACATCGGCTGTCTATCCTACCAACCCCTATGCACTGATTTGTTTGTAAATCAGCTCCTTGTAGAAACTGATAGCTATTTGGGGTCAGTTCGTCTTCATTGCCTTCTTTACTTGAGGGCTGCGCATGGCAATAATTATCGTTTCTGGATAAGTGACAATTTGGACAGCACTGACAGCAGTCTGATTCGCTCGAGGTGTGCTCACACGGACCCAGGCAGCCGTGTGAATAACATCCGCCACCTTGCTGACCAGACTGCAGCCGGGGTGTCGTGACAGCCATTGGTTTAGAAAATTTCACGGCTACATCGGGAGGCTGATGAGGCAGTTTAGATGTCGCCATAGCCGTAGTGTCTGAGTTTTCTGCGTTGTGACGACTTACGTATTTCGGTGGGGCCATTAAAACGTCGCCTTGTGAACGACTAAAATTGGATATCGTCTTTTCATTAAAAACTTCGTTGGGATTGCCATTGAAGGTATTGTGATTCCCCATTTTACATTTACTGGCATTGTGAAGGCCATTAACCAGTGAAGCACAGGTGCAGGCTTTTGAAAATTGATTAGACAACTTTGCACCGTACTTTAATAGCTCTGCTTCACCCATCCCACCTTGAAGAGTGTTGAAATTCGTCCTCCCAAATTTTTTCTCTTGTTTATTTGATCCTGGTCCACAATTGGGCAGCTCCTGGAAATTTGTTGCAACACCAGCTTCTCTCAATAATGCTTCAGTTTTGTGAGGGTTTGAATCGGGCTTTTTTTGTGTAAGGAGTTGGGAAGAGGATTTGTGCTTCATAACTTCCTCTAGAGTGCGGATTGTTTTACCGCTGCCTTGAACTGTAGCATTCTGTTCACTGAGAGACATTTGAGTGGTCATTATCTGAATTTCGTCCCCATCGAAATCGCATGTATATGCCAATGCTTTTTCATAGGCCGATTGGATATTGCTACTGGCACCGGATGATAAGCCATCCATGGGCGTCTCAATTCGTTTAACCTCTGGGATCGCGTCAGAGGGCACAGCTGGACGAATGCAGGGTTCGGAAGAAAGTGGCTCTCCATCACAGTCGGAAATGAAAGTCGTTAGATGCACTTGCACTGGTCCACTTACTCCATCCTCTCTGATATTGAGGTTAAGCGTACTAACATTGTTTTTATCAATTAGAATATTCGTTGGCTTGCCATTTATCGTCAGTACTATTGCTTCCCCTTTGTCATTGTGAGAAGGCCCAATCGTTTCTCTGTTGGTTGGATGTGCTTGAATCAATATTGGGGGGTGTAGAGGTAAAGGTCCCAACTCCTGCTTGCCGTTGGTAGGATAGTCTACGCCTATAGGGAGGTGGACTTCAGTACTGCCAATGTTTTGTCTAATACTGCATTCTGGCGAGTTTGTTGTGCCTTTACCACTAGCGTTAATTGGTTGAAAACTTCTATCCACCTCTGATGGTGTTATTTTGTAGTTGACTGGAGGCTCTGTTTGCTTTGAAGGGATTTCACCAAGAGGCATACACTCGTGAAACGTCTCAATGATGGCATCTATTGTCTCGGTTACAAGGTCTTCAGCGATTTCTTCAAGCAGTTCGTTGAGTTGGCTCTGCTGCTGCACTGGTGATTGGGATGATTGGTCAATATCACTGTATCTACGTGAGTGTGAATTGGCAGCAAAATCAGGAGCTCTGATCCTTTGCATGTTTTTGGACCACGACAGGTCCGTGCAGTCTGTGTATTCTTCAGTCTGGCTTTTCTTCACACCTGAACCATCGTGTGCAGGAACTACCTCGAGTTGCTGCACCTCGCCAACATAATCAAAACAAGCACCATTGTTATATTCTTTCATTAAACTGGCTGCACCAAGTCTTCCGCTAGCAGAAGATATCTCAGGTTTAATCGTTTCAGATTTGCGAGCCGGGCTTTCAAACGTCTGGTTTTGAGGTTTGTAAAAAAATACTTGGCCATTATCTTCGGAAACACGGATTTTTAGTCGCACATGCAGTTTCTTATCCCTTTTATTTTGCTCGACACTTGGAGCTTGCACGCAATCACTGTTCTGTTTGGGAACACTCCCAGCTCCTTCGGCGATGGAGTCAGCGCTACTCACTTCTGTTTTTTCACTGTACATGTATTTGCTATCCATGCTGCTTGGTTCCGTCAAGTGAGTTTCGTGTGAGTCGCCTTGTTCAGACCTATCCGATGTTTCAGCATTTGGTTCGTTATCTAAAATGTTCACTTGAACTTCGTTGATGTCGCCATCAAAATCATATACACAACCGGCTATACTGATTCTACAACTGCCAATTTTAGCAGGATTTGACTCAGTAAAAGCCCTGCAGAATTCAAGTGTGTTTTGTCCGATCTCAGAGGCAACCCACTGACTTTTTTTACGAATCAGAGAAAATGGCTTGGGCATTTCACAGATTTCATGTTGTGAGGCAGTTACCAAAGGATGTGCCTCGTTTCTTAGTTCCATTAATGAGGAATCGGAATTTTCTGAATGTTCATTTGCTGATACGTAACTTTTCATGTGTGTATGATGAGGCAGTAATCGTGGCGGTTGAGATTGTAAATCGGTTTCACTTGTCTCACAACCGTTGGTATAGTCATAGGAGTTGAAATCAACCTCCCTGGGGTAGTTTGCAGACGCAGGAGCTTCAATGGATGGTTCAGACTCGGAACAAGAAGAATGAGAAAGGGAATGTGGGCTGACATCCCCTAGAACAGCCGGTGGACAGTTGGCGCCTGTTAGTATGGGGGGAGCCTGAGAAGAGAAGGAATCTTTCGTTTCAGAAAAAAGCGTTGACCTCATGCTAATATCACAGGATCCAAGGTCATGCGTATCGTCAATGTAGGAGCCTGCTTGACTTGTGCAAGAAGAATGGATTTGACCACATGAACACTCCCTCGGGTCCACCAAATCTGAAGCTGAAATTATTTGACCCAAAGAAGAGAAAAGGGAATCCACGCCTTCCAAATTAGACCCCTTGCACTCGTTTACGCCATATTCGGGAGTAGTTTGCCGAATAAAATCTCCGTTTTCACAATTACAACCTCTATAAGTGGTGTCCCCAGGTCTGACGTCTGGATCTTGGTTATAACCATGAGCGACCACAAATTTGTCGTTTACCATTTGCGAAGAGGGTTGCGGATATGATATTATGGGGGGTGTAGACGGACCATCAGGGGATTGAGAAAAGCATGAAACTCCTGTCGGGGAAGTGCCATCTCTACTATGATGTCTAAGGGATGTGCCCGTGTATGACTCCGAGGCTGGGTATTGGGTCTTTAAGCAATCAGTTGCACCAGTTACACATATTCCTGGTTGGGTCACCTCTGTTCTAGTCACAGTAACCTTGTCCAGGACTTCTAACAGTGCAGATGGCTTATTACTAGTGAGAGACCTCAATTCACTAGCCCTTTCACTTCGGCTAATCCTAGTATGAGTAGCATGCTGGTTTGATGAAGCTAATGAGCACTGCTGGGCACTGGGAATCGACGGAACATTCCAAGGTGACATTCTATTTATCCCTAGTGGTGAACAGGCCTTTCTTAAATCCACCGTATCATCGCAATAACTAGTGTGTGACCCGGCAACTAAACAGTGTGCTCGATTTCTCGGTAACCCAGAACTTGAATTCGATTGTTCATGGACTAACACAGTTTGCATTCGTGCTCTCCCGGGATATTCACAATTTGAGTCTAATTCGTTCCTACGGAAGCACTCCCGTTGTTTAGTCCCGTGAGCACGCGAAGGAGACTGACATTGCTGAGACTTCGGATGTAAGAATTTACTCTTCTCACTAGTCTGTTCAAGTTGTTTAAAGTAGGCAAGAAGGCTTGTGGTATTTCGCCTACCATAGGTTTGATGCATTTGTTTTTCAGTACCGTCAACTTCTACGCTCCACGTCTCCTGTGGTGCTTGCTTTGGTTCTGAGAGATTTCTCCTATCCTCTCTCTCCCATTTTAGGGGCATGTGGCAACAAGTTGGCGCGTTTGTCCCGTCTACGTGATCATCCTGAGCGGTCGCCTTACATAACATTTCCGGACACAGCGCTGGGTAGTACATTAACTGCTGGCCACCTGTTTTCGAAAGTGATAGTTTCCCAGCGTTTGCTTCTGGGCATACTGATGAATAGCAGGTGTTCGCTTGAAACGCATTCGGAGAACTACTTGAAGGCGTACTTTTATAGAGGTCCAAGTTAGCCTTAGCTGCTGTCTGGTCATGTCTGACGGCATTATCCTTTTCCAGGGGCTTAAATAATTGAGGCGAGGCCAAAAGAACCCTCGGGAAAAACAACACGGCATTTTGGCAGTTTTTTTGCTCGTTAAAACCGCTATGCGCATGCGATGTGTTTGCGTCTTCGTGATAGCAGACATCTGGACGCGGGAGTTTTATATTAATGGAATTGGGAGGATTAGGCGAGATATCGCTTTGTTTTTCTTGACCCACGACACGGAAGGTGCCATCACTTTGAGGAACTAAAGTTAGAGCCACTTGAGTAGGCGGAGTGATGACGTCTTCCAGCAGCCTGATGTTCAAATTAATCGGCAACTGTGGCATAGGCGATGTGGAAGAAGAAATGTTGACGTTGAGATTAACCAAGTTATTGCCGAACTTAAAAACAGTTCCACCTTGGGGCTTTTCCGTCCCACTGTCACAACTCACCTCGCAAATATCAAAGTTTCGGTCCCTTTCGGTGCACTTTTTAATAGTATTAGCAGTATTTGAAGTGGTTGTGGTGGTTAGGACCCGGTTCAAATCTCCCTGGTGAACATGATTTGCTACGACCTGCTCAACTGGTAAGACAGAGTCCTTTTTGTCGTCACTACTCGATAGGATATTGGCGTGATTCACCTCGGACCCTTCACACCTCAAAGAAATCTTCTCAATTCGTGAAAGAATGTCGTCTTTCTGACGTGGCCTTGGTACTCGAGGTAAAAAGACTTTTTTAGTGTTTGGTGTTTCAGCAGCCGAATGCTTCCATAAAGAGTTAGTGAGATGCGATACTAGGCATTGGAGAGAGGTTTTAAGTTCCTTTGTCACTGCTAACTGATTTCCACCGCCTGAATTGAGAGCTTTAAACAGATTTTCTATGAAGCGATATTCGTGCGAATTTTCCCCATCTTTTGGCTGGAAAACATAATCCAGGGTAACTCTGTACTGCTTAGGATTTGAGTCAGCCACAAAATTATCGGTAGTGACGGCAATTATTGGGCACTTATCGTCAGGCGAACATTTTTTGCGAGCTTTAACAAACGTATATCCACCAATGTTTTTGCCTTCACGCGTCTCCTTTTTTCCTGCTTTTTCGTTCTGGTTGTTGTTGCATTCTGATTTTGGTAATTCCCTCCTTTTCTTTCGACGGTCCACTTTATTAACCATGGCAAAATTAAATTAAATTTAAGTAACAACCATATTAACTTGGCTTGAAGCCACCAACAGGATCGGTCACGACAAAGTACAACGTGGGTAATGCCGTTTGAAGAACGCAGATCGATCATGACTATGCGGCGTGTTGATTTGAACGCGCGATATAATGTAGTTACATCAGGTCATCACGACTTCTACCAGCTTACTCGTTTGTTGTACATGTCACGAGAGCTTGAATTTAGATTATTTCAATTGTCTTGATCTGTCTGATTTATTGATATTCATGAATAGCAGATACTGGAGCTAAAGATATATAAAATTTTGAACTTAATCTGTTTATAAGTAAATCAAAAATTATCATCAAATACAAGATTAAACTGGTTATGGCATGCATCGATATGTATACGGAACTTAGTGGGTGGGAGTAACGTGCTGTCAATGTTATTAAGTACAAATTAGCTTTGGAATGTTCTTCAGTTGGTCGCTGGCAGTCTCTTGTAAGTTGATTCAGAAATTCGAGCCACCGTCAAATGTGTGATCAAGCTGGAATTGAGAGCAAATCAGACTAAAAGGAATTGTAGAGTGTGGGATGGTTTTTATTAATCTGGGACGATTTCCTTTTTACTGGATCAGACCAGTGAAGAAGGTCTGCAGGCCAATCACTCCCACTGCGATGCAAGACCATCGACTCAGGATTCGTGCCATCAACAAGGGGTTGGTTTTACTGTCGGTGCAAGTGCCACCTCAACTTGGCAACTGCCATCACTCCGAACGTTTTCGACGGGATCATGACGACATGGATTACGCTCATTTGTGACTTGAAAAGCTGATTCAAAGCCTAAAATGGCTTACCAGAAGGATGCAATAGGCCTAGGAAATTTGCAACTGAGGTGTCAGTTTGGTGGAGTGTGGTACAATTGATTTCCTAGAAAAAAATCCAACTGAGGTAGTCGTCATATAAAGTAACATCGTGAAAATCACGAATCACATAGGCCATCAATCGCTAGGGAGGCTGGGTGAATTCAAACGTACCACCGTTCATTTGATCAAAATTCTAGTGAACGTGCTGACATACCTGGGCCCAAATGCCAGCTGCCTCTTGTTCAAATAATTGTAGCGTGTGGCAGCGTGTGGTCACGCAAAAGTGCATCAGTGATCAAGCCAACAAGGCCCTTCTCCCAAGAGCATTTAAAGTGGAACTGCCATTGTGAATCATCCTCATTGTTATCCCAAACTTTAGTCGATTGTCCGTACTTCCTGTCGAGATTTAAGGGACCAGTTTTCGCAGCATTTGTTGCTTTAAAATGGTTAATGTCTGCTAGATAAGGCTAAAATAAAATTTAACCAATTTAGTCCTATAACCCAGAAATAGGCATATGACTTCACAAAGTTCATTTCAATTTCACCTTATATTTTGATTACATATTTCACAAACACATACACACATGTAATTTGCATTGTATTTGCCAATATCTAACCAAAACTACCAGCGATTAAACTTCTTGTTTTTATTTCTTTTGGCGGCTACTTAGCTCATTGCAGCCAGCAAGAAGTCATTTTAGTACTTTGGGGGATTTTAACTACTGATGCGAATACCGAAATGTAATCCTGAGCCTTAGGCCTGTTTCACATATTATCCACACCGTAAAATAAGGGCCATCGGCCAAATTCGCTGTTTTTTTACTGTTGAAGACGAAACAAGCACTCTGGCAGGAACACCTGCCTTTCGTAGATCAATATTACTCTACATTTTATATTAAATCTGCAGTAACATATTAAATCTGTAACATATTTTTGTGTCGTTATAATGAACCACGTGAAAAATATATGACGTAGAAATGCTATCCCATTTTGGGGAAGTCGCAACTGACAATGCTTGTTCCAATGGAGCCATTATGCCAATGGGGAGCACTAGAGTTAAGTTATCCGAAACTGATACTGAGAATGGAAGGCAATTACAAATTCTGCAAAGCCCGACTTCACTTGCGTAAATTAACCTCGAACTAATAAAAAAAGTGTAGATCCACATTCTAGTTGCTGGTCTATCTAAACATAATCAGTACAAAATGTTCGTTGAATTTTAAGACCACTAGGAATCATTTCGAGCCTGGATTAATTAAACACAGCTTTCCGTAAAGGCTATTAACAAAAAGTATATACTGCTAATCTCTCAGCTCACGATGAATTTTTGTGGAGGTGGAGCTCATGCTTGCGCATTTTGAGAATGGTAGGATTACCTGCAAGGTACTGACTCGAATTTGTATTAAATTAAGTCATTTAGGGACAAATTAGACCTGAGATCTTCATTAACTTCAGCTGTCTGGGGTAGCAGAGATTTCAGGTTCAAATTACTACAACTTGGGACAAGCTGCTGACTCACAGGACCATCAGTCAGCCTGGGATTATTGAGAATAACCGGAGGTCTGTTGATTCAACAACGCCATTAGTTCCATGATTTGGTAAATATTTTTTTTCGATTTTGAATGCTATTTGGGAATCTGCTGTGATCTCACAGATTGTGGATTTGCATCTTCGGTTCGCTCACAGATGGTTCGGTATCAACTTAGGCATTCAAGGTCCGTAGGTTATTCCATGACAAAAGGAATCAGGTACATTTAATAAGTGCGAATGAAGAAGAGTCAACAAATTCATCATCAGCTGACATTGGTAAAAAATTGTTCAACTCAACAAAGCAATTCATTTTTAATTCAGTTTTGCTTGTTGCATGGTGCTAAGTTTGGAATTTATCTGTGCCTCTTTACTGCTTTTAGAACCAATCGTTTCGGAGGAAGAAAACCCAGATGCATATGCTAATTATAAGAATGGAATTTCCATTCTGGCTGTACATAAGTCTCAGTTTACAATAGAACCGGCTTAGAGGTGAACTCCTGTGGTCTTCAGTTGGCAGCCAGTGGGTGGCCGAAGAAAGCAAATGACCAGTTAGGCCGTGGAGAAGTTGCGTTTATTTGAAAGTGAACACCTCGTTTGACGTGCTTTCTCATCACAAAACAGAATTCAACTTAACACAAACCAACAAAGCAAGTCTGTAGCGAGAACATGGTTGTGGAGCGTTGGCACTAGTGGACCGCGTGAATAATTGTCGCTGAATAAACAATCTAGGTAAGCGAAGGCACATCTGTAACTTCCTGTATTCACGAGGAGCCACCTCTCTTGCCAACGCCTAAATAGTCCGTTTTTCTATCAACAGATCGCTGCACAATAGCAATAAAGGCCGCGTGCATGATGACAACGGTTGTAGCGACAAGTGATTGAACACTAATGGCCGGTAAATCACATTCGCACAGTCGAAACCAAAATAACACTAGTGCCCGGCTGCCCAGCCATGGAAAGAGCACTAACAGTCCTCCACGGTTTCCAAAAGAACGTCCTTGTGAATGTCGACATGACATTTGAAAGGTTTAGAGTAGTGTGACAAGGGACAAACTGCGTACATGATTCTGCAATACATTCAAGGTCATTGCAACGTAATTTAAACATGTAAAAACAAGGCCTGCTTAATTTTTTAATGTTTTTTTTTTAATTTAGGTTTGAAGTACTAGAGGAAGATTGTTTTTTAAGGGGCCTAAATATTTCCGTGTCAGACACATTTCAATCAAATTCCTGTAGTATCTCGTTTTAAAACGCGGCCAAGTAGATTGTTAATCATGGCGACCCACTAAAGACTCCGCTTTGTTATGTTGGAGAATGCAGTTTGTGGGAATAATATACTCATTAAAAAGAATATTTTATCATCTGATTACTCCTCACGAGGTTCTTACCGTGCAGTCGAAAGGCCCAAACATTTCGGACATGGGCTGGACATTTAAGTTATTTCTAATTAAAGCGAATAATGAGCTAATTTGTGTGAGGTAAGCTTAGTGCACCCACTAAAAAATGCAAAACAGTTAAAAAGGACACAAAATAATACCAAGACTGCACTTCGACTGATTTTAAATTCTCGCCTTCAATCAACGATTTGGGAATTTTAATGTTTGTGTAAATACGATTGTGGTGGTAATTTGGTTTAAGAACGCTTACGATCTAAATTCACAGTCCCAGGTATTGGAATGTACCAGCTTCCATTAATTAACAAGTTTTGCACGCTTGAACACGCGTTGCACCAGTGAGTTTGAGCGTCCTTGAGAAGTTTTTCTTTAGGTCGCTAAAAGGAGCATTAAAATTAAAATATTATTTGATGCAAACGTTTTTTTTTTCAATGGGCTCTCAGTAACTTTCCACTGATATTGAAGACATTCCTACAGGGTGACTCACGCACATTTCCATTTGTCGAGAGAAGGTGACTCTTTTGGCGAATTCCACGCTTTGTTCCATTAGTTCCTGCATGTCTAAGCTGAGTTAAAATGGCAAAAGCGCCTTCTGAATCACATTCTAACCAGACTCTTTAGTTGTCTACCAAATTAGATGAGTTAGCTAAAAGTAAAAGGAATGAGTTCCTTCTCGCCAAAATTTCTTGCCAACTTGTGTGACCCAGCATGCTGGCGAATTACAAGAATGTACCTAATTTCACATTCCAAGCCGTCTTGTTAGTTATGAAATTGTAAAAATATCACTGTGGTAACGTCTTTTTTAGTCGTGGATATCGCAACTTGGCATCACGTGGAAACAGTGATTTCGCGAATGCCGAAAATAACAGGCCGAACATATTGTGCTGGGACCAGATGGCGGTGGCCCACCACGACTGTGGGCTTTGCCAACGATGATCAGAAGTATTGTAAATCCAGCTAAATAGGATGCAGTGACCACTGATAGTGTTTTAAGGAAAAATCCACATTTTAGTAAATGTAATGGCGAGCTAGATTTGTGTGTGAAACAGGTTATCAAATATTCAATCCGACATGAAGTCTGTGAACGAAATTCACACCGAGATTTGGAGGGCGACTCAGAAAACTACTGAAAAGTGTTGTGAGACGATGAAGCTGGTGCGCCTAAAGTGATGTTTTATTGGGTCAACTCAGACTGATTCCGGCTCATAAACCTTCCACCTATTCCAGGGTTCCCGATTAACCAGTTTCCTGATAGAGGTCATTTCCTTGAGCTGGAATTATATAAAAAATCAATTAAGTTGGCGGCCAATCCTAAGCACTGAGTTATGAGGCTAGATCAATGTCTTGGTTACTGTAAATTTGTTAGTCAATGACAGACAACCAGGATAAAACTGGAGCAATTTGGGGCGAACAACCAGGGAAGGCAAATGCAATGCACAGAGGGCAGGAAAACCTGTCTTGCGCTCGATACCGACCCCTACCTAGGATGTCATCGACAGACCTCCAAGAACTATTAGTGGGGAAGCCTCAATGAAACAGGATTTTAGCTCAATTATCACCAGTTTTTCCACTTCTTCAGCCCAAGACATAGAGGAAAGGGAATGAACCCAATAACCAAAACTCGTAAACAATATCAAAAATTGCCGGCAGAAAAGTTGATTTCCTGCGGAAGTTAAAAAACTGAGTACAAGAAAGTAACTACAAGGCATGTACAAGGTTAAGCATGGAATGATGGGAGACGGTCATCACGCCATGGGAGGCCCAGCATTGGGTGGAGGAGGCAAGTGGTGGGGTGGCATAGCTTGACCCATGCGGTGGTGGTGGGCGTTGTTACCGCCGCCACCGCCACCACTGTTGGTTCCGCCGCCCCCACTTCCATCGATAACACCCGACGATCCTGATTGCGCCTGTTGCTGCTGTTGCGCCTGTTGCACAACTGGGCGAGGCATTTTCTGCATCAGCAAGACCGGCATCTCGATGTCCACGTCAATGCGGTCCCAGAGGTCGTAAAGTGCCAGCATATGACGTACCACCTCAAGGACCTACGAATAGATTTATTTTGCCTCTTAGTACCTGCTTGTCAACAAAGTGACGAAGAAATAGTGCATAATTGATCACGGAGTGAGATAATCAGGACATTTAAAGTCATTACAAACTGCAACACTGATTTTAAGTGTCCTAAGTTTTAAAAAGACTGGATTCAAGAAATAAATAGCTAGTTGCTAAGGCTATAATATGCTAAATTATTTTTACAAAGTCCACGTTAATACTATCCTCCCAACTTTTAAATACGTTAACATTCATGACAGTTCGGCGGCAAATCTGCCTTGGTACTCGCTCTGCTTACGATTGAGGCAAAAACCAAAAACAAAAGGGACAGATGGGTCATTACCTTCTCAGGGTCTACATTTAGCTCACCAAACCATTGTTCGGCGATAACTAAAGGGTTGATGTTTGATTGTTGAGAAGAAAAGTAGAAGGAATGATGATCATTGGAGCTTCCGGAAGAATTGGCTGGCGGATTTCTTGACAAACTGATGAGAGCCAATTGGATACACCCTGTACAAAGGAAAGCAAACAGATATTTCTCTCGAGCGAATATAATTTATGCCCGCATTTTTTCAAAAAATTTGTAAGTACTTCATCCATGGAGCAATTTTAAAAGGCAGTAAAAGACTCGTCGAGCTTTCACCAGAACACTTTTTAGGCGGAATAAATCAATAATTCACTGGCACTTTGTTTAGAGAATATCCTCTAAAGCATAGATGGAGGTGGACCATGAAAGAGGTTACAAAAGGGATGTCCACTCCTCCACGTGTGAAAAAAATGCCACTTTAGTTACCATGAATGCAAAAATAGGAACATCCAACAGAGACCAACTCGCGGATCGCTTAAAAACAAAAGGTTAATATGTGGTCATCTCCTACTAGTGAGAAACATAAAAGTAAATAACCTAAATCGAGTAGTGAAACTGAGGCGACATAAAATATCGATAGTGGCGAAAATTTCCGGAAAAAAAATCGATAATTATGCGCGGGAGACTGAACGTCTTAAACATACCCAGAGCGATTAAGTAAGGAGGATAATGTAGACAGAGATCCGTTCGTAGGCTATCATTAACGAAACCCCTGAAAAGGTGAACGTCATGTACAAGTGGCGTTACAAGTAAGGACGTAGATAGGTACACATACCACGAGCGCTCAAGAAGTTCATCAGCCATATTGAGCAGTTGGGGTCGCAGATCCTCACAGAACTGCAGGAGAGGGCGATAAGGGTGAAATACTATTAGAGAACAATCCTAGAAAATGAATTAACATACATTAAAATGTCAAGACCAGGCCTTTAAAAATGGGAGATATAAACATACCATGGCTTCCATAAGAATAAATTCACATTCAAAGATATCATGTGTTCTGTAAGGGTAGCTGTAATCTTTGAAATATTTAGAATATTGATTGTTCACTAAATGTTACTAAAGATTCAACCAGATCTCACCAACTTTACAACAAGAAGCAATCAAACTTTTGGGTTGGAGAACACCAAATTCCTACAAGATATGTCACACGTAAAATACATACCTCGACTTTAGAAGCAAGGAAGAGACAAGATGGTGCCATCAACCAAGGATCAATAGATTTTAAAGATGTTCTAAAACAGTACTAATTTAGGCACTTGGTGCACAAACCTGCCGTAGAAACGGCGAAAATATACTGTTGCTGTCGCAATAACTTGTTGACGTACCTCTAAGCTCTTGCCGAAGGCTTGTATGACTAAAAAATAAATGTAAAACAAGACAAAACTGACTCACCATCAGCAAAAAATATCATTATTTTCTGATACTCCTCTTCGGAGCCCAAAATTTTTAAGTCGGAGGCTCGATACCTTAACACGTCTTGTCTATCTAACAGCCATTCCAAACTAAAACAATTTACATAAAAGTGTGTGGAACTACTAATGAGAACACTGCCAAAAATTGCCTGCCATGACCAAGTTATTTGAATACTATAATCGCGATATAATAAACTAATCAGTATCGCGTGAAACAGGTAACAGAAACCTTGTTCAATAGCGCCGAACCCCACAGGGCTACGAAAAATGTGACTGCCGCCAATTATTTTCGAAAAGCGCAGTTTAATGTATGAGTGGGTTAAATAAAAAACCTGAATAATGATCAATAAAGAGTTGTTATCTTTTGGTGTTTTGATGTTACGGGATCGGAAAAAATTCAAGCGTTCATTTAAAATTATATGTTTTAGAAAATAACGATTATATGATAAGTCATTAGTTGTCAATTTTCTTTGAATGTCATCACAAGGGAGCATAAATTAAAATAAATGTATCGTGTAAGTGTTAACTTCCCCAAATGTTCCACATTTGTTATAACTGAATCAAATAAATTGTCCTGCTAAACGCATATCAGATTATCATGGAGAACAAACCCACCCTTTGTAAGGGCCACAATTTCGGTCACCAGACATGGTTCTTGAAGATTGTGTTTGGATTGTTTTTCGCTTTGATAATATTCTATCCATTACTTATAAATTATTATGAACTTCCGCTAGTTCGATTATCAGGTTATCACCTAATTGCATATTACTCCGATAAAATATCTGCAAACCAATATTCTTCACTTTAATTTATTACAGGTTTAGGCTGTTTATCTTAGCTGATCGAGTCAATATCGCATTAATCGACAACCAGCTATTTATGGTTATTTCTGTACATTTCTTCCTCAAAGTTGCTTCTGAGTTTATTTACTAGATTGTCTCTATTTTAGTAAACCTTCATAGATGGTTATAAACTTAATGACGTGATGGTTTTTGCTGGAGTGTATATTGTGCGATAATCACCTTCATAAATCAAAAATTGTTTCACCGATGCTTTTAGATCGGTGACTGGAAAAGCCTCCTACTTTGGCTAAAAATTTTCCCAAAGCGAGAATCTACTTTAGCCATTTATAGCGTGTGGTCACTAGGCAGAACAACGCACATTCACTGCCATGTAATTCGGTAAAAACCCAGGATCTCCACTTCACCATTTCCCTTATTTGAAGTACAGTAGACCGAAGAACGCATTAACCACTTACAATAGCAAGTGGCTGTATAAAGCGGGATATCAGACCAATATTGCCGATGTATCCAGCGCCACCACATCTACTAGACCAAATGGAAGCCACAACAACCACATTGCCCGCAAGAATCCAGTCACAAACTGTTAGCCTCTATACTGCTTACTGGAATTTTGTTGAAAATTTCTAACCACACTACTTTTCGTAACACTTTGGGAGCTATTTGTTTGTTGTAACAAAGCAACAGGCGGCTTCTTTGGAAGTCCAAAACAAAATCATATAGCAGAATTTCACGAACAATGACAACAAGATATCCAGATACGAGTTCTGACATTGACACATTGTAAAATGCCCAACCTGTTGTATGAAAGGCGATACGATTTATTAAGTAACATTTGGTTGTCACGTGTGCTTGCCAATAATAACCAAATATAGTATAGAGAAAAAACAATACAATGAACAAATATTCAGTACAAAGCTATATCACAGCCGAGAATTGACAGCAGCAAACGTATTTTGATTCAATCATGCGTGAAAGAATAATCGGATCTGAAAGAAAAGATGGGAAAGTTTCGGCAAATATCGAACACAGTCTTGTCATATTTAGCATGCTATAAAAACCAGCAACCAAATGGGATGAATGGGTAACAAGAAGCTGTGGACGGAATAGTTGTAGTTCTCTGTTTTGAGACAGACCTTAAAACTTGCTTTAATGGTCTGATCATTTCAAGAAAAACATATGAAAAAATGGGTGAAGGAGCAAATCAACTAGAAATGTAAATGAATAAGATTTTATCGACAAATCAATCGAAAATTTTTGCTGGAGCAAACGAAATTGGTATTCATGTTGAGGAGGAAATGCTCGCGATAAAATATCTCCCGAGATTCTTCACCAGAAACTTGAATTTTACGCCGTTACGTATGCATCTGTGTGACATGGCACCACATCTGTCTAAAATTTTTCGGCTCTGATGAATTGAACACCAAATCGTTTGAAACTGCCCGCGACACATTAACTTGTACAAGCCCAAACTAACCAGAGGACAATCGTGCTGCGGGGGAAAAGTGTGCCAAAATTGCCACATCGGCAAACCGGAATTGTTGAATCAGATTCCAACCCGTTATCCACTAACCTGACTTTCTGTCGGGCACGCAATGACCATTTGCTCCTCCTGTGAATAGTGCTCAGTGATGATTTTGGCTACCTTCCGCCACGACTGAACGACACCGGTCTCCACGGGGCGCATCATGATTGCCACTGTGTTTGGATTGCCAAGGTAGAGAGTCAGCTTTCGACGAATCGCCACAAGGCTATTCGGTGACGCGGACTTCATTTGGTTGGCCGACAGGAGATGGAGAGCTGCAGATACGGCATCCTTCAATTGGTCTGGCGGTCCCAGGGCATGGCGTGATTCTAGTCGAACTACTGTCTCCGCCTTTGGTGGAATAAATTTAACATAAGAAACATCCATAAACTTACTTAACAGAGAACACCAATGATCACTACACACGATGTACCGAGTCAACTCGAGTACCGATGCAGGAGGTCAAACCACGTGGACTGCAGTAATACGACTGCTGAGGTAATCCAAGAGATTACCACCACAAGAAACTTTTTATGGATACATACCTTGGGTTGTTGTGTCCATGTTATGAAGAAAAAACCTCGAAACACGACAAGGTAAATCAGCCAGAAAACTTACCCCCCACCGTTGGGAATCGATTTTATCGCCTTGCTATTTTTTTAAATATTTGCGAGTTTACACTTGCATGATTTGAAAAATCCTTACCGCAGATAATATATGCTGGGACAGATCGCTACTGGCTGCGGAAATTACAAAAGAGAAGCCACTTACAGTAGGCGATTTCAATACTTAGTGGAGATCAAGTGCGTTTACCTTATCGACGGCAGGAAGGTCACTGGTTAGAGCTGCCACAGCAGAGGAAATGAATTCCTCACAGGCGATCTTCAAGTGTCGATCAAGTTGACGCCGCGAATCAACGTCTGTGTCGACCACCGTGGGCCCCTCAAGGAGCAGAAGACGAAGCAGGGTGTTGGCACGACTAAAGTCAAACAGTCCTGAGCCCAGCTTCGGTAGAGCCTGATAGGCTGCGCCTGTCAAGGGGAATGCACATCAACAGCTGGTTGGACATTAAGAAAATGTAATCTACTATTTATCAGAGAGGAAATCGACCGTAAGCCTCATCACAAGTACGTTGTGTTATCAATGACAAATGGGCGGCCATTGAGAACACACATACACACTACCTCAATCATTCTTCAGCATTCAGCAGGAATGATACAAGGACCACGTAAATCGTCAAAAAAGGAGTAACAATGCTGAAATACGAGTTCCCTTACTTTTAATGCTTGTAAAATCCAGACTCGTCTCCCTGACGCGAAACTCTACATTAAATGGGGTCGTTTGTTCACGCAGAATCAGTAAATGTTTAACGAAGAAGAGTTGCCCATCACTTGCCGTCTTCCGTTCTTTGATATGCCTCTGGGCAGTAATAAGGGATTGTATGCAAGCCGAAAGACAATTTTGCGCGAGGCCTTGGAAGGATTCTGTCTGCAAACGCGAAATAATGAAGTTGAGATCGTCATAATAACGACATCTAACATGACATTTTAGGCGTCAAGAGTGGGCAAAACCAGTCTAGATCTAAGGCACAGTTTAGAAAGGACGCGAATTTGCTGTGTGGAGGGCCAAATCAGATGCAGGGTTCTACGATATTAGATGACGTGATAACTATCTTACATCAAGACACCGACTGAGGCTGGAGATACAAACAAGGGTCCTTCGCACAGTCGGATACCACATTCCATGAAAGTCGGTTGAACTAGTGGACGTCATGGGTCGCGCTTCCTTCTGTTCTTGCTCCTTCAATTGAGCTCCGTTTGAATGGGTCTCGTTTTCCGTGGAGTGCTGCAGGCTTGATGCTATTTGCTGAAAGAATGAACGGGTTTAAGAGTAATGGAGCGCCTAAAACTAAAAATCCTCAAAATGAATATAATAGGGCCGACGGAACAAAGACAACTATTAAGCTACATGAAAGGTAGTTACCATGTCTATAGCGGTACTTGGGCTCGGTGAAACATAAATTTAGCAGCTAAGCGATAAGAAAGACGACATGGGAGACTTAATAGATGGCAACAATACTGTATTGGTAGTTAAAAAGCGACATGCCTCAATCATCTCTAACTTTTCGGGGTAGGCAAGGTCTCCGGCACTCGGCTCGTAGTCGTGGATTTGAGATTTGATGTAGACGTCTGCTCGGAAGATGAGACGTTGCCTCACATCCGCCAGCAGCGACTGGCACATGTTTTCGAAGACAGCTAGGTCAACACCTTCCGTCGAAAAAATAGTCATTTCAAAACAAAATTAGCAAAACCCACCGCAGCAGAAGCTGCAGCCTTAAGAGAAAGACAGAGAGTCCCAATTTCCACGATTACGTACCACATCGGGCGACTGTGACGTTACCGTTGGACGTGGGTTAAAGAAACCTTGCCTCCAAAAGAAGACAAAATGACTTGATGGTGCATTAGGCTAATCTGGTTGATGCAATAACGTCAAAATGACATTTTAATATAGTATAGTGATCCAAGACTGTGCTTGATTGGGGTTCGTTGGGCCGTTGCAGACACGATACTGAAATACCCCCAGATTGACGGTAGACAATATTACTCCCCACAAACATGCAATCGTTTATCAATTACTGGACTTCAGTGTTTACGAAATAGGACAAGTATGGTTTTAGCAGACTCCCCTCTAGAGACACATCTATCAGGTGGATACAAATCCACCCCCCCAAGATTTCAAGTTTGGGATTACTCCTGAAAACAAAGAACCGAGTCACTTCGAAACTCACGGGACTTCGCGTTGATTTGATCGTCGAGGAACTCGTTGACAAGGAGATCGCACAACTCTGTCAAGATTTCAATGTGGTTGATGTGAATGAGGAATGGCCGGAGGGCGTCGTAAACACAATAGCACAGGTTGCTCAGCATCGATCTTGAAGGTGCAAACGTGGTTTAAATTAGCCTGAGCTCAATGCTGCAGTTTCTTCGTGCATACTTCAGCGTGATCACTTCAAATATAAAAATGGATGAATCTACTAACCAGAGTTTGCATATTTTAAATCATCCAGACTGGCTACTTAGAAGCGGAGCAGTCTGCTTTCGTGTTATTGAGATCAACGTATGATTGCGCCTTTTATGAGCTGAAAAGTTCATTAATAAAATCCCACTAACACAGTGATCCACATCAGGAATAAGGTACTAGCATAACCAGTGGAATAACTTATATGGTGCTTTCATGATTTCCGGTAAATGAAAAAAATCCATACGAAAAAAAGTAACATACGTCAGTGGAATTGAGTCTTTTTGGGCGTGATTTGATGCTGGAGTTTCCTGTGGTTCAAAAAATCGGCGAAACAAAGAAATCTCATCTTCACACATATGAAGCATAAAGGAAACTGTGGTGCGAAAGAGTTCACAGTGGTCGCGTGAATATTTGCTCGTTAGGTCAGCAATGCTTGCCTGGGCGACCGGAATGACTAGTGCTTCCCGTTTGGTTAAATAATACATCTGACATTCCGTGATGACATCACGATATCTAGACACTATAAGAAATTACAGCATATTACTTTTGTGAAGTATCGGCACGGGACTCTAGGAGTTGCATTAGAGAGCGAATACGCGAAGCCTGGGAACGGAAGCGACCGTATAAGAGTATAAATGAATTTTCTGGGACTATGGCGTCCTGGAAAAGAGTTACGTCAAATCGAGAACCCACCCCTAGTTCCACAATCTCCATGACAACCCGTCTGATGGCATTTTTCACACCTTCCTTTACAGTTAAGAGAGCCGTATTTAAACAGGTATTAAGGCGTGCTAGATATGCCTCCGAGTCTTTAAAGCTGCGCTAAAAAGCGGATGAAGTAAATCAAAGTACTCAATAAAATATTTACGTGTTGTTCCAGAAAAGCTATGCTCGAGTCGATCGACTCTAACACAGGTTCCAACCGATCGGGTGATATGATTATGCTTCGGGCGCTAAGTTTCTACAATCCATCGACATGCGTAAAGCTCTACTTACCGCTTCAATTGAAGAAAGAACGGTAAAATATTGAAGAAATGTTTCAATTTGAGTTGCCTTTTCAGTTAGATCCGTTTGCTTACGTAGGAGACTCTCACAAGTTTCATGAAGGTTGTTTGTTTTCTCGGAGACTGAGAGGTAGCGTTCTTTCAGTTGACATAATTTCGATAAGATCTCATCGGTTTTATCTATGATTGACATGCAATAGGATTCTTGCTGAGCAAAATGCATAGAAAGATCCGCCACAGTTTCACTTCCCTCCTTAGCTTCCATTTCATTAAGGGATCCCAGCCATGCATAAAACTGTGAAGCTAATTCAATTTCGACAGTATCATGCTCTGGTTGAGGAACCTGTTCAGAGTCAAACCGGAGTCTCGGTTTCTACAAAACAAAGCGCAGACGGCATGCAACTTTTTTATTTATTGCATGTCCTAATTGAGACATACATGATGTAAATTGAAAAACGTGGATTACACATGTGTCCAGACTGAACACCATAACTTGACGTAATACACAAAAGTGGTCGACCCCGCAGTGGTAAATCTCAACATCAGTATAAAAGACTATTAAAGAAATTGCCCGGTTTTTCATACAGGGCTTGATAAACAGAACGAGATTGAGCTCATGGCGATTTGAGTCGGTCTATATACCCAAAAGCATGTGGGTACACACTTAAAAATTGGTATTTTTTAAACCTAAAAAATAGAAGTGCTAGTTCGTGCATCAAACATAGATTACTAAAAAAGGCAGTACAAAAACATAAATACAGGAATCTGGATAATAATTGGAGCACAGTGAAAAACATAGTTTAGCAATACAAAATAAAACAACAGTGAAAAAGAATAAGGAATGGAATAACACTAAACAAATCACCAAAATTTAAAAATTTTCACCCAATACCACTATGGTAACGGACACTGATGCGAGCAATGGCAGCCACGAGAACGGCAATAGCACCGGTGCTAAGGTGACCCACGGTTCAATGAATTACCAAAATCAAGTATAAGGGAAGCCCATTTTGCAGTCATTTTTAACTTTACTACGAAAACCGATTTACGTTAATAATCAGTGTTATGACGTACTGCTTCTAAGTCAGGATATAAATATGAATTTCGTAAGGCTAAGACAAAACAATCACAAATTATAATCAACACTACAAGCTAAGTACTAAGGCAAACTGAATATATTAGTTAGCAAGTGACTCCAAGAGCAATTACCTGAGGTATTGGCCTAAAGTCATCCGAATTTAGGTAAAACACCGACTCAATCTGCTTTTCAGATAGAGCACATTTGCTATTCTCAAAAATATTGTCGTCAGCACACATGACAAGATTTTATTGAAAAAGGGCAACCAACACCAATCACGCGCCTGAACGTCAAGGAGAGCTAGGTTATTTAAACCAACATATGAAATGGGGTAAATCACGAAAGATGCAGTTCTATAATAAGATCATTTAAGATACTAGTCTGTTGGATACTTTTAGAGTACTTTATTTCAAACAAATAAACTAAGGTCACCCTAAGACGTGTAGAAATGCATAGTTCTTCAAAACGAATATTCGGTCCAGTTTGCTGACTTAAGCTAAAATATTGACTCACAGTTTTGGTACGCGACTGATTTAATAAATACAAATTCGTCTTAATGATTATTTTTAAACTAAAACACTACATTTCACTTTCAAACCTAAAATAATTTATTGATTGAGCAAGGCGGAATCGCTCATTATTAATATTAAATTTTAAGACATGCAGCAAGCGTTATATATTCTGAATCAGATGTGCAATTGAAAAACGACTGAATTATAATAAGCGCGACATAATTTTTTTAGAAATGCAACCTGCAAGTGGGCGATTCTTTAGCAGAATGAATATAAAAATATTGTTGTGGGCCCCAGCATGTGGTCTTAAAACACTCTGGGCCACGGAATTAACCCTATCCCGGTTACGTTTCTCAAATACCCGCGATGAAAAAAAAGACCGGATAGGACGGAACACAACCGTTTACTTCAGAGCTCAACCAAAACTGGTGTCGTTGTGTCGTGTGTGGGATGTGCGCGTGTGTATTTATATCTCAGATGTGTGTCATACATTCGCTAACATCGAGACCTATGTGTGGGGACACTCCAAGATAAATATTCGGGCTAATGAAGGGGGAGTTGAAGATTCGACCGGCTGGTGACATGCTGCGACAAGGGTTACCCTGTGTAGGAGGTGGAGCGACAGGATTAGGGAGTTGAATAAACACGAATCACAACAAAATGAAGCGACATATAAAAGACACCTTGCCTACATAAGGCATATGACTCGGCCAAAAATGGATCCTAACATTAAATGGGTTACTACGTTAGGAGTACGAAGTGTAAGAGATGAAGTGAAGATTAGGACATTTATAAGGAATAAACAGGAATCCGAAAAAACCTGGGTTAAAACAACAAGAATTTATCAGGTAGTAGGCGTACAAATTAAAAACATGTATAGAGGACAGCTCAAAAACACGATAAATTTGTATAAAGCAAGTTTCCTTAAAAATTTTCCTTTTATATTAATTTATTTATTACCAGTAAAAATGCTCATAACATTAAAAATTATATCAAGAAAACCTGACATGAGAGATCAAGTGATTCACGCGAATATAAATACAGCACAAGGCAAACCGAGCTGTTAATTCGCTCATCCGACTTTACTGTTGCTACTGTGTCTACAGGCATCCTACAATGAGGGCACACACCATGCAAGTCACAGTCAGACGGGTACAAGCAGC